GAGGAGCCTGATAACTAAAAGATCTGCCTCCCATCCTAATTTTAGATATTCTGGGAACCACCAGTAGACCTGCAGTCTGAGAGCGAAGTCTGAGTCTGTTTAACGGAAGCTTGTTCAGGTTCAAACAGCGGCTGACTCCGGACTCTGATTGGCTATTATATTATCTAGCCCCGCCAGTTCCATTTGCTGATTGGTTCTTTTTCGGTTGCCCATCTTTCCAGTTTTCTGATTGGAATTTAGTCAATTTTCGTTGTCATTCCAAAATGTTGGTCAATTTTCATCCAAATTTAGTCTTTATTTGCGTTTATGTTTTCATTTTAGTTTGTGAAACGTCATTCGCTACGAAAAAAGGATAATTTTTAGTTAATGAAAGCAAGACTTCTCTAAAGCTCACGAGGGTGTTCCTGTGTTACTAAGGGAATGAAACAGAAACATCAGTGACAGTCAGATCGAGGCAGATGTTCTGAGCTCAGGAGGAACCAGAAGGTCCGGGGCAGAGGAGAGGTTCTCTGAAAACCCGTAGAGTAACAGACTGAATGTTCCATGGAGGATGTTCTGCTTGGAAATGTTTGCTGTCTGAGAGCAGAGCTGTCAGTCGGTCTGGTTTCCGTGGCAACACCCGGATGTTAGGGAGCCGAGTAGGAGGAGCTTCTGGTGGGTTCTAGTGGGGATCTCCCACGTTGTTGGTGACACAGAGCTGTTGGTTTTGTTGAAGCTGAGAATAAATCAAGGAAGTAAACAAACTTCCTGATTCTTCTCCCTTAAAACTCCACAGTGTTCATAATGTGATGATGCTGCTCAGGGATGGCTGGACTCTCTGCCATCTTGTTGGAAGGTCCCAGTGGCACAAACCCCTAAAGTCATCAATACTGGATCTGGACTGGAATCTGACTGGTGTGGTGTGTCTGTGGCTCCACAAAGGTCGCACATTCCAGCGGAGCTCCAGAAGGATCTTCTTCCGGAAGCGGTATCTGCTCAGGAGCCACTCTGAATTCTCACCAATCAGATCAGAGCGCTCACGGAGGACCGTTTCCTCCAAAGAGCGTGCTCTGTCAGCAGATGAGCCATGCTACCATGTCAGGTTCCCGTGGGTCACAGGTGTCTTCCTAGGCTCTATCAGCAGGGATGTTAGGCAGCTGTTTCTCCACAGATATCATTACTGACTGGGTGAGGGCTGAGACCTTCAGTGTTGTGGTCCCCCCGTTCTACCACTAGATGCTGGTCAAACGCATGGTCACAGCCGTTCTGCGTTTCGGGAACATTTATACAGCGGTACTAGATGGTCATCACCACACCGAGCGTGAAATCATTCCTGCACTCAGATCTGTGCGTTAGTACAGCTGATGAATGAGGGTCTGCGGGAATACACCAGATGTACCCTTCAAAATAAAAGCTGAAATTGATCAAAGTCTGCAGAAATAAAAGACACCAGAGATTTCTCAGACATAGTCATACTCTTAATCTGTAACTGAAGAGTCCACCTGCTGGATCAGAGCTCCTCGGGTTCTCCAGGTGGTTTACTAAGGTGTTATGACCCTAAGTGTCTTTAACAGTTCTAGATGCCTCCATGGCAGCGTGGTTCCGATGAAATTTGTTTCATTATTCCTTTTATTCACTCTTTATTTAACCAGGGAGACCCCATTGAGATGAACAAAGGGAGTCCTGGCCAAGAGGAGGTCACAACCTTTATAAAGGTGAAAAATCCACGTATTGGTCTTCAGTCTGGGTGTGGATCCGTGACCCGGTACCGGTTCTCCAGCCCAGGTTCTTCCCAACAACCTGGTTTTGAGCCGGTTGGGATGTGGTTTTGTGAGTCAGGTTAATGTTCACGGTGGCTGTGTAGAGATGCTTTTTGAACTCATGCATGAGTGAATGAATGAATGCTCAGATACATAAAGAGGAGTCGATTGCTGCAGGCTTTCCTCCTTTTCTTCCTTCTCATCTCCTCGTCTCCTCTGTCCCTCCGACTTCTCCACTCTCACAGAAGATGGGACCAGATGGCGCTGCGAGGCGGAGACGTTCAGCACACTCTTCTCCTATCTCTCCTCCTGAGCCTGTGTCCCACTGCTGAGCGCATCCCTGCAGGGGGTGAGGGCAGAGTGGGGGAGTAAAGTTCTGGCTCGGCCTAGCTGTGTGTGTGTGTGTGTGTGTGTGTGTGTGTGTGTGTGTGTGTGTGTGTGTGTGACACATACCTGCTCGAAGCAGAGGGAGAAACAGTTCAGGGTTTAGCTCTCGATTCTGGTTCTGGATCCCAGTAAAGCTGGACCCTGATCTGCAGAACTGGGCTAGATTCAGAACCAACCCAGAGTCTGGTTTTATTTACAGAGATCCAAACAGTCCAGCTGGACTTTTAGATCCCACACATTCCCACAGGTTGTTGCATCATTTCTGATCATAGTCTGGTTTCCATGGAAACACACATAATGCAGCCACTTAAAGTAGGGATGTCCCGATCAGGTGTTTTTGCCCTCGAGTCCGAGTCATTTGATTTTGAGAATCTGCAGATACTGAGTCCCGATCCGATACTTTCAATACATAAAAAGAATGAATAAAGAAAAGGAAGAAACTGTTCCAAAATGTTACTTATTTTTTATTTAATTACTTTTTTATTTTAATTTTTAACAACAGGTCACTTCTGTGAGGTAGCATGAACAGTCAAGCAATAAATAACATAAATTCTTCACTTTTGAACTTTATTGCAAACATAAAAAGTCTAATATAAAAACAGATAGCACTTCTACTTAAAATACCTGGCAGGGGTCTATTTTGCCTCGGCCCTCAAAATGCTTAGATACGCCCCTGGGCATGGGACGGAGTTTTGAAGATGATCTGAATTGTATCAACTATATAAATACTACATGCTGATAAATTATTGCTTTATACAGGTACAAACGTGTAGTGGCATAAATCTACCTACATTTTATTTTTTTAAGAACTTTGTTTTGTTTTCTTGGTTTTATTTTCCTCTCTTCCTGTCCTGTCTGTCTCTGATTCTTCCTGCATCTCCCAGTCCTCCAGAAAAACTCCTGTCTGCTTCCTTCTTTTTCACCTCACAAGTAACTTTTTAACTAGCAGATCAAATTCATCTATTGATCGCAAAAAAAGCAGAGTGTGCGCTGCCCTGCCCGGCTGCGCTAATGACGAGCACTGCAGCGGAGGCAGCGTGTCCACACGTCATGCTCAAATGCAGACAGAACTTACCAGAGAGAAAATGAACGGACACAAATGACTGTGTGTTAATTATATAGTCTTTGGTGACGCCCAGGGCCGGATTATCATTGCAGGGGCCCCTGGGAACAATGTGCTCAGTGTGCTTGGATCGGGAAGTAAAGCCCGAGTCCGGATCGAGTCTGAAACCACGTGATCGGGCCGATTTCCGATCATGTGATCGGATCGGGACATCCCTAGTTTAAAGTGACCAGTCCTAGCGTTTGAGTGACAGCTGCCTGAGCCAGAAACATCAAGTCCTTGTGACACGTCATCACTGGACCGAGAACAGTTCCAATTCTATGAACGCTGACATGCGAGTATGCTCAGAGTTCCCGGACGTGTTCTTGCTCCATCCACTGTACTGAGGATGGTATCCCACAATGCATTGTGTCAAACCGTTATGCTTGGAACGGCTGAGAAGAATGCACAAAACTGTAGTTTTTTTTATTGGAAATACAATTACAGAAATATAAAGTTGCCCGTTGTTGTAATTAATTGTGTGCAACCTGTAAAATTTGCCATATGTATTTTTTTTAGATGTCACGATCCCTCAAAATGCTAATTTGCCAGCTCACTGTCAAAATAAAAGCAGTGTCACCGTAAAAAGCTGTTTGAATGAAAAAGAAGCAGGAACTGCTTGGGTGATCTATTAGTGCAGTCAGTAACCACAGCTTGTCTCTGTCCAAATAATTCCACGATTAACATCCACACACACACACACACACACACGCACGCACGCACGCACGCACACACACACACACACGCACGCACGCACGCACGCGCGCACACACACACACACACACACACACACACACACACACACACACACACACACACACACACACACACACACACACACACACACACACACACACACACACAGAGCCGAACATGTGTTAACGTGAGGCCAAGGCTGAGGCCTTTCCCCAGAGCTAGCTCTAAGCGCTCTGAAGCTCACTAATTATTCAGACTTTCAAGCATTAATTTCTACTTAAACAGAAGAGTTACAAAAACATTCGCCCCTCAGAGTTGTCATGAACATAAACTAGATCTATTAAACCTAGAATGGGTTTTTGAACCAGGCTGTAAACATGTTTATTTCTGCAGTGAAAATGACTTTTAACATGGGAGTCAATGAGGATTTGCTCACTTCTGCCGCCAGCCCCTAGTGGATGGGGGTGGAACTGCAGTTTTTGTCATTTCCGTGTTGGCTTCATAAAAATCCCAGTATTGTGCGGTCCAGGTCCTAACCTCAAGAACTCTTTCCAGGGACATGTAGTCATTCGGACTCAGACCAGAACCAGTCTAGTCTAGATGCTTCTGGATCAGAACCCGGTTAGTGTGATGAAGGGAATGCTGTTAAAGCTCCATCATGTTTGCCTTGCAAATCCCAGAGGAAAAGTGAACAAGTGATGCTTTGATCAGCTGGTTCTGCTGGTTTTAAGAGAACATGTTGGGTTTTCACTGCTCAGACCCTCATTTCCATGTTTACAATCCAAACACAAACAATGTTTATTAAAATAATTTCCTGAAAATTAAGAATATTCTTTTATTTTGAAGTAACTTCCTGTTTTTAGTGTATGTATTTACATCTTCCCGCCGGTTTAATGGAGTAATCATTCACTAGTTGCTATGGTTTTGAGGACCATCCATCATTTAAATGAATGGACAGCATCAGTTAGCTCATCAGACTCTTCTGGGTTCTGGAGCGGATCCTTGGACCAGAACCAGCAGGTTTAATGTATTCTAGAGTCCAGTCTGGTTTCTAATGGTTTTGTGTCTCCTTTCAGATTCGTTCCTGGAAAAGGAGTGGTTCTGTACCCACAGATTGGGGATAAATTGGACATAGTTTGTCCCCGTGTAGACGGAGGTGTGGGCGACGGTGTGGAGTACTACAAGGTGTACATGGTTCCCAGGGAGCAGCTGGAGAGCTGTACCATCACCAAGGCTGACACGCCGCTGCTCAACTGCGTCAAACCAGACCAGGATGTGAAGTTCACGCTGAAGTTCCAGGAGTTCAGCCCCAACCTGTGGGGTCTGGAGTTCTTCAAGGGAAAGGACTACTACATCATCTGTAAGTACCGGGCCTGCTGGGTCACACTTACGGGTTACACTTGGGGACTAACTTGTCACACACTGGGCCTAACAGGACTAATGGGTCACACAATGGACCTAACGGGCCCAGTGGATCATGTACAGGGCCTAATGGCTCACTCAGCGGTAGATTGCATCAAATATCCTCTCAGAACCGGTACCATCTTGGGAGGGCCCCCTGGTCTGAAATACAGCAGGCAGCCTGAACGTTCTGTGTGGCGTCGGTGGTGGCGGGGGGTCTGGGCTGTGGATAGGACCATCTGTGAGGCTCCACCTCCACCATCTGTGAGCTGTCACAGCAGGGAGAAAGAGGCAAGGCGTCAACCCATATCTAGCAGCACAGTTGTCTCTGATCCATACGGCTGATCTGTCTTTAGAATTAGTTAGGGTCCTACATCTGTATGAATGAATGAATGAATAAATGAATGCTTTATTAATTCCAGTGGGTAAATTGTGATGTTAAGACAGCACAAGAGAATAAAAGAAGGATTTAGGTAAACACACTGGGGGATGGGCTAGATAGATTTATGAGTCCCCACCAGTGTCAAGAGCAAATCTTCACCAACGGTGATAAATGCACTGTGAACTTTTTGCTGTCTTCAGGCAATTTCTTGTTACTTAAAATAAATGTTTCAGCGTCTGTGAGCTTCATGTTCATCTCCACATTGCTGCAGTGACCTGGATGTTTGTTTTTAATTTGACTGATTAGAACTAAACGGAGACAGGTAATTTGCTGTGGTGACACCTTCGACATATAAATATTGGACAATGGGTTTCCATAGGCTCCAATAACACGTTTTTGAAGAAAAATGGGAGGTGGCCACCAGGGCTGGACTGGGACAAAAATTCAGCACGGGCATTTTGACTGGAGACCGGCCCATCACCTGTTTTTTTTGGAAAAGACATTAAGCTTTACGCTGTTTCTGACACACACCAACGTACACTTTCTTATTGGTAGTATTTATGTATCAATCTAATAAACGTAAACCTACTCCATCCTTCCTATCCTGGTATTCTAAAAAGTAGGGTTGGGGGTAACTGATTATTTTTAAAATGATTATTCTGACGATTATTTTATCGAATAGTCGACTATTCTAATGACTATTTAGATGATTAATCTAGCGATTACTTTTCTATTGCACAATTAATAAAAACCAAAAAATTCTAAATAAATTCCTCCAAAAAATTGATAAGTTGTTACTGTAAGAGAATAAACACTACAGGCCTTCCATTTTGTAAAACACTGCTTTTATTGTGTTGCGGTTGGTTATGTTCTGGTGACGTGTAGAACTTGGGAGTGCAGGCTGCTGCCTGAGAGGTGGTTGGAGATGGAGTGTCTCCATGCTGCTTTGTTTTGTTCACTTATGTGCATGAGGCAAGTGGTGTTACGACCCTTCCTGGGGAGTCACGTGTTTCTCCTATTTTAACTGTAAATGCTTCTAGCTGTTATATTTATAACAAGAAACAGATATTCGGACGGAATATTTTCATGTTTATTCGAATATGATTGTGGAACACACCCAGCATCATAATAAATGAAGTAATGTTTATGTCAATTTAAGCCTTTATGGGTGACCAGGACTCTGTGTTTATGAATGTGGAAGACACCCAGCATCCTGTGATGGCACTAATAACATCAAGAGATAATAAATAAGGTAATATTTAGGTCAATTTAACCCTTTACACGTGACTAGGACACTGTAATCAATTTTTGGCAAGGGAAATGATCATTTGTTGCCATTTTTTAGGTGTTTATGAATGTGAAAGACAACCGGCATCCTGTGATGGCACTAATAACATCAAGAGATAATAAATAAAGTAATATTTAGGTAAATGTAACCCTTTACAGGTGACCAGGACACTGTAATCAATTTTTGGCAAGGGAAATTATCTTCTTTTCTTTTCTTTTTTTTTTTTTTTTTTTTGCCATTTTTGGGGTGTTTTTGATGACACAGTAGGCAGTATGAGTACAGTAACATCAACAGATAATACATAAAACCCTTATTTGGTCAATTTTAGCCTCCATGAAAATCTTAGCGATTCAATCACTTTTTGGCAAGTAAAATGCCATTTTATTTGTCTACACTTAAATCATCAATAAAGAATTTAAAGATATTTTGAGGCATTTCTTATAGGTAAACGGGAGGGTGTAGTCTATTTGGCAAGTGACAATCTTAATTTTATGTGCTGAAGTGCTTTTATCTTGTTACTTTTAAATAGAGCAACGTAATGTATAGATAGTAACCTACACAGTGTCATTAAAGCCAAAGCTTGATCATTTTAAATACTTTTTTTCAAGTAAAAATGTGCCCCAAACTAGTTAACTGTGGCTTCATGTCAAGTAGACTAAAGAAAGGAAGGGGAAAAAAATTAAATCGCTGGAGAATTGTTTATTTCCATTTATACAACGTTTACATTCAATACAGGGTGCCATTTTACATTGTTATTTATTTTTTTAGTATCAAGGCTGTAACATAAAGAAAGCCAGTTCTTACCACAAAGTTTGTGGCACAAACCATCTTTCAATCGCAAATATTGCAAAAAGGATTAATATATCCTCATTGTGAACGTTTTAGACAAATAGCAACACTTAAAACAACTTCCGAACTGGAAAAACTAATGTGGCAAGGTGCAGAAAGGAGTGCCCGGGCGGGATTTTGATCCCCAGACCTCTGGGGTGAAAGTCATACGCTCTAACCAGTCAGCCAAAGGGACATCTCCTTGGCTAAGTAGCCAGGGCTCATCATCAATCGGGACATTGTGGATGCTCACACTGCCACATCTTCCTCCCTCTTTCCACAAGCACGTCCTCGTGCTCCCGCGCAGGGTGCCACAAACACTGCCACACTAATATCCGCGATAAACATCTGTTTAAGTACCGGAAGAGGTTATCTTTGCTTTCTGAATGTCCATATTGCTAGATATGCTGAGTTTTAGGGCGAAATCCTGGGGAATTTTGTCTAGAAATGCAATTACCTAACCGTGCGCGATCCCGCGGTGGCTAATCATTTTTTGGCAGCGAGTCAATTTATGGCACAACACCGGCTCGGGTTTCTCCTCCTCCTCCCTCTTTTCTTCTCCAACCTGTCGCTGGGCTGAGGCTCCATCACTTCCTAAATGGATTTTACTTGAACCTTCACTACCAAACAACTGTGAGATTTTAACACATGTGCCAGCATCATCCTGAAGGGCCAGTTTCTTTTTTAGTCGAATTTTCTCCGCTCCTCCTTTCCGTTTTTTGTTCTCCATTTTGTTAAGCTCGTCTGTCTGTTTACTGAGATTCACAAACAACTGGCGGGTGCATCAGACCTCTGGCTATTGGTCCAGCCCAGAGTGTATTATTACCAATTGGCCAATCCACCAACTTTTACGAGGCATCGCGTGGGGCGGCACGGACAAGTTGTCCGCAACAACTAGAGGCCAGAGGAAAAAAAAAAAAAAAAAAAAAAAAAACAGACACCGGCCCATAAAAGATGAAAGGGTCGGCCCAGCGGGCAGTTGCCCGCTATGCCCTATGGTCAGTCCAGCACTGGTGGCCACCACCGCCATTTTGACCGTGTCACAGGTTCCGTCAAGCCCAGACAATTCCATAAAAAGGAAGAGAGGTGGAGCTGAGGGTGGGGCTGTAAAGCTGGGATCAACTGACGACACCCGGTCGAACTAGCTACAAGCTAACCTGAAGCTAACCCAAAGCTAACACGGAGGTAGGAGCTAAGCTAACGGAGGTAGCAACCTAGCTACAACCGGAGTTAACTGTGCACAACACCAGAGCTTCTGAGTCAGAGGTACGCCGGGCTGACCGCTGGGTAAAACCGGGTGGAACACAGAGGTCTCCGAGAGCTCCACAAGCCGGCAGCCGTGCAGCAGACAAGCGCCGCAATCAGACAGATGCGCCGAGCTGCGGGGAGGGAGAACCGGGTGGAAAACATCGGTCTCCCGAGAGCTCCACAAGCCGATAGTCGGAACCCAACTCCACCAACATGTTATATTTCAACCCATTTTCTAAAGTGCAGCATTATGTTAAATGCACTGGGTAAATTTCATGGTTAAACAGTACATGTTAAAATCTAAGCTCAGCTCGGCAGTGACCTAAAATACATAAATATAATTTTACTTACCGAAAAAAGGAAGTGGAGACTCATTGGATGCTCTATTAGTACAATTAATGCCACAGCAAGTCATTTTGTCCAACAATTGCACAAATAATATCCAAAAAAGAATACACAAACACAGAGACTCAAAATCCCAGGCAGTTTCCAGGCCAGACCGAGGCTCTACTGAGGCTTTTCCACGGAGCTAGCTCTGCGGTCACGTGGGTCGGATGCTCATTAATTATACAGAATTTTAGGCTTTTAATACACTTAAACAGAAGAGTGAGAAAAAAATTCACCCCCCTCAGAGTTGTCATGAGTGTAAACTAGATCATTTAAACCAAAAACATGTTTTGGTACCAGGCTGTAAACATGTTTATTTCTGCTGTGAAATTGGTATTTTTAACATGGGAGTCAATGAGGATTTGCTCGCTTCTGACACCAGCCCCTAGTGCATGAGGGTGGAACTGCAATTTATTTCATTTCTGCGTTTAGCTTCAATTTTTCACCCGCATTGTGGGGGCTTGGGTGACACATGGAGGGAAAAGCCGAAAGAGAAAGCAGAAGTTAGTTTTTAAGGTGGCGTATCAGATTCGTTATGTTGAACTGTCTTTACCACCATGTTAAATACCCAGGATGCAAACGTTACAATTGGTTGTTGCACTGCCTTTGCTGTCTGGTGAAAAATACGTCCCAACCGCATCTCTTCTCCTCCTGTGGAGACACGTTAGCTTTTTGTTAGCTGCTAGCTAACAGCTACATGTGTTGGTGTCAGAATCCCTGGCTGCCTTAAATTTTGTAAAGTTATGAGCTGTGATCATGTTTGAAAATCTCCATCTCAGGGCAAATTTAAAAAGTCAATGTTGTTCCTTAAGGTTAAATCTGGTCA